GAGTTGGAAGTTCGCCTTGTAATCAGAAGATTGCTGGTTCGAGCCCCGGCTTGGACAGTCTAGGTCGTTGTGTCCTTGACACTTCACCCGTTCTACTGGTGGTGGTCAGAGGGCCCGGTGGCGCCAGTGTTCGGCAGCCTCGCCTCTGTCAGTGCGCCCCAGGGTGGCTGTGGCTACAATGTAGCTGCCATCACCAGAGTGTGGATGACTGGATGTGTAAAGTGCTTTGGGGTCCTTAGGGACTAGTAAAGCGCTATGCAAATACAGGCCATTTACCATTTTTAGCACTAGTGCCAGCTTTGTCTTGGAAACTAGTCATTTGTCCAGGAGGCTAGTAACACTAATTATCACTGGCTACCTGTTTTTCAGAGGTGTTATTGCTTACTTGAATTTACTTATTAATTTCTTTAGATGGCCATGAAATCGAACATACACAGAACTCTCTTCTTTTTTTTGAGCCACGATCGCCCTGTAAACCAGACAAAGGCCTAGTGCAGGCTAATGCCAGTTGCCTATTCAAACAAAAAATGTGATGAATGCAGTCTAACTGTATGCAAATGCAATTTATAGGAAACATAGCTCAGAGCTGAGACCTTAGCAAGCTTCTGGTAGGCAGGCAGGTAGTCAGGATGTAGTGGCCCATCTGTGTAGTTTCCGCTTTAGTTTGTATGAATGATTTCTGCCTCTTTCATCTTCAGGGTCTCTTACAGGAGTGTAATAAGTTGGGGGCCCAGTACCTTTTTCAGACGGACAAACCATACGATGTGAGCTATGACACTGGAGATAAAAGCATCCAGTGTGGCCGACACGTTGATGTGTTTAAACTCTGGCTGATGTGGAAGGCAAAGGTATATTTTAAAGTACAACTAAAACCGCAATGTTGGTGTGGGTGTGTGTGCGATAGTGTGAGTAACATAACCTCTCTAACATAACCTTTAAGTATAAGCATATCAAACATTTAGTAAACAAGAGTAAAATTATTGAAATATAATGGAATATCATGAATTATTTTTTGTAGTAATTTGTTTTTTGCAAATGGTTTCCTCCCTAAACAAAACCAGGTTATAAGATGTCTTTATGCCCTTTTAACAATAACTATTTGTCTCTCTCACTATGTCCACTATTTAATATGTGAGGGCTCAGACGGCTTTGGATCTCAAGTCAACAAATGTCTGGAGAATGCTGAGTATCTCTATGATCAGCTGCAGAAAAGGACAGAATTTGAACTAGTCTTCAAAAACAAAGTGAGTGTGCTCTTCACAGATATTTTTCCAGAAATATTGATTCTTTGATAGTACTATATGCCAAACCAATTTTCTGTTCAGTTTGCACTGCAACATGACCTTATGTTGGAGACTGGGTGTACGTGGTACATGGCCATTTAAAATGATGAATGTTTCTTCTATGTAAGTTGAGTTCAGATATTATATTAGAGGTGACAAAGAAGGTTGGACTAAACCTCCACTTTATAACAGTATCTACTGTTACTTTAGCAAAATACCAAAAATACTTTTCCTGTCCAGAACACATCATACCAAAAGGCTGGAATGATCGCGAATTCAACATCAAATTTAAAATAATCCTAATGTTGTGTTTGCAAAGTATCATGGTTGCCAAACCACTCCATGTCTACAGGTGAAAGATTAATTTCACATCACTCAGAGATCAGAGATCCCGCACACCAGGTACCAGATGGTCCTGGAAAAGTTTGTGGCGGGGCTCTCCGAGGGGACAGCATGGTGGGTTTGATGCCACCAGCCAGCAAGCTTGGAGGCAGCCATTACACTGATGGAGGACAACCTTGCCGGGCGGCCAGAGAAGGCGGAGGGTCACAGCCAGCCGGTCCCTGCTCTGAGGACGATGCCACACCTCCTTGTGTCGTGGTTCTTGTGTCGCGGTTCCTCACCTCACGGACAAAAGGAGGGACGCGAGAAAACTCAGAGATCCGCGTACAATTATGCTTCTATACCACCTACTTTTTGAGTTACACGACGTTTTGTAACACCAAAAAACTGCATTTTCCACGATCTAATTCTGACTGCTCATGACTCTGTTTTCTAGGCCCACACTCCCAATCCAGGTGGCACAATTGGTAATGACACGGGTCTGCAGCCCAAAGGTCATGGGTTCAATTCCACCTTGTTCAACATTTTTTTTTCACTAAAAATTAATACACTATCACAGTCCTGTAATTACAAGTACACAGCCTGATGAAGCAGACAGAAGCAGCACCTCTGATTGGTGGACTGAAATTGAGCACAAATCTCAGCCTCTTCTGCTTTTTTTATCAGAATTTTCAGCTTTTTCACCTTTTTTCAGTTACGTGAGAACCAGTTTGGCTCAACGAGTAGCTGAAAAATTTCAGCCTCTTCTGCTCTTTCAGAAGAATTTTAGCGTTTTTTCACCTCTTTTAAGCACAATTTTAGCTCTTTAACTTGTTTCTAGCATACAGTTCTGGTTCTTCACCTCTTTTCACAACAATTCAGCTTCTTGGGCCCCCTGCATATTTTTTCTCTCGTCATATCTTTTGTTGGGACAAGAACTGCTTTGGCTCAGTGAGATGAGCAGCTGCTGTGAGATCTGTTGGTGCAGGTTTGAATCCTATTTGTGGCTGTTAGCACACTTCTGCTCTGCTTGAATGCACTCTGCTTTACACTTCAACTGTTTAAACTCTTTTGCATGCAAATTTCAGCTTTATCACCTTATTTGCAGAATTTTCAGTTTTTCACTACTTTTCAGCACAATCCATCTTCTTCAGCCTTTTTAACACAAATTTTAGCTTCTTTTCAGCAGAATCGTTTGTTTCGTGGTGTCGCAAAATAAACTGTTTACGGCAATATATTTTTTCATCGTTTTGATGGACACTGTAGTGGCTATATTAATTTCTTAAAGTTCTCTCTTTCTCTTATATTTTATATAACCACACTACGGACGGACAAGCGCCTGTTTTTATGCGTTGTGGTTAGCAACAACGACGGTAACAGCATCGCGTGTCCGCTTGTTTATGTTCCACATAAACCTTTCACAATAAAGTTCAAGATCCTGTTGAGACTTTTCAAAATAAACTGAATCACGTGAAAGATGCAGAATGTTTACGGATGAGAAGTAGAAAAGAGCTGCCAGGTGCTAAAAAATAAACCTTAGACTCAAACGTTAGAACAGCTTTTCCCCGCAGCACGCCGTGTAATAAATACTCACAAAGAAAACGGCGGCTGTTACAACTTATGTCTAAAAATGTATAGTTTCATGCATCGGTTAATCCAGCTACATGACACACAGCTGGAAACACTTCCCGCAAGACGAGCTTCCCGAGATTCACAGAATTTACAGAAAATGTTACATTTATGTGATTTATATCGTTATCAGGACGATAGAATTCTTATATCGGGATATGAGATTTTGGTCATATCACACAGCCCTACGTGAGAACCAGTTTGGCTCAATGAGTAGCTGAAAACTTTCAGCCTCTTCTGCTCTTTCAGAAGAATTTCAGCATTTTCACCTCTTTTCAGCACCATTTTCAGGTTTCTTATCTTTTTTT